CACACAAAGAAAGCAAAACAGAGGTTGAGGAAACAATCACTCTTTTGTTTGGGCAACAGACAGTGCAAAGTTACGACTGCCAGAAAGGGTTTGGTTAAAAGTGAACCACCACTTTGGTACACTGTGAACTCAACCTTTCCATCTTAAAAAGCTTAAACAATAGGACAATGCACTTGATCCATGAAGAGAGCAGGATCACTTTTACTTAAGCCTTTCTTTAGATGTTTGTGCCTGTTTTTGGTAGCCGGCTGGCTTCCTCTTAGAAAGCCAGATGGCAATGTTCTAGAAGTCATGACCGTCTGCAGGTCATTCTTGAGGCAGCCCAGGGGCATGGGGCCTTGTTCATGACCTTCTACCACACAAAAGGAAACTTATGGCTAACACTGCACAAGCTAGTGCATGACTCATCCTCGCCTCTTAACTTCAGCTGGTCGACATCAGTGGGCCTATTTCCCTGAAGATTCTCCACACGTTTTGCTTTCTAATTCTTTGTTTCATCAGAAACTATCATTGTTGACCGAATGTTGAAAATCAGTGTACAAATATTTCTATCTCACCTATTTTCCATCTTGGGAGGGACATCATGTTTTTAAAACCAAATATAAAACTCTAAAAAAAATAGATAAAAGACACAATTCACAAGCTCACAAACCATAGCAAAATATGAGAAAGCACAGAGAAATCAAAGAGAAAAGAACAGAAAATAAATCCTACTCAAAAAAAGCCTAGTTTCTTCTTCCGTCAGAGTACTGTGGACAATTAATATCCCGTGTTCTTTATGAGGAAATTGCATGGAATCTGACCTATAAATGTCTGAAACACACCTTACGCATTTATGATCCACTAACAACAAACACATATGCAGATAACAAATACATTATTGTTCATGAAAGAACTCAAATTAAAAGGCTGGGTTTTGGTCCAAGTAAATACAGAAAAGCTGCCAAAACCATCTGATGGACTCCCAATGATCTCATTTGTTTTCATCAAACAATATTGAGTTTTTTCAAATTAGATTAATCTTTTGCCCAGTAACTAAGCTATTTGGATAAGAATTTAAACCATGATTAGCATAAAAAATAATCTCAAAATTACACTGAAATGCTTGCTGGAGAGGAATGAGTTATAAAACATTGACTTTCCTGTTACGAGGCATATTCACGTTTTGAAAAAGATGATAGCAATTTGGTAGGCAACACCAGCCCATAAACACCTGGTACACTTGCACAGAGAATAATGGCTGAATTAACGGAACCGCACAAGTCACCTTATTAAATCCGATAGGTTCAGAAATGGGTGCATACCTACACACTTATAAAACTTTTCCAAGAAAACGTTTGGGAATGAACGTGTTCACATTTCTGTCGTCAAGAAGATCTAATCTTCCGTTCTAGATCCTCTTGAATAGCCAACACCCCCTTCCCCGCTCCGCCACCCCACGAGGAAAAGAAGTACAAGCCTTGACAGGATGCTGTGGTGTTTCTACTGGATCCCTCAGCCCTTCCACGCACAATCAGCAAGCAAAGACTTAGGGCAGATATGTTTCAATTCAGTAGGTCTGGGAGGAAGCCAAGTAGCTGGCACTTTAACAGATCCTGGGATGATCCGGGGTGCCAGGCGATGTGTAAGAACTGGTTCATGACTGTGTGTGTCCGTGACATTCACCTACCAGCCTTCCCCCAGAGGGATGCAGGCTTCATGTACAACCTGGCAAATAAAGACTGCAACTTCTTTAGACCTCCAGCTTTCTCACAAAATTCTTTTAAAAGGTGGACATTATGCCATGATGTGGTCATTTGGCCTGGTGAGCACCCTACAAGTGTTACTGCATCTTCATCCATAAAATGGGACTGTAATAATACTTCACATGCTGTGGCACCATTTCGAAGACTAGAGAATGAAATGCAAAGATCATCTTATTTTGAGAAGTCTTGAAATCCATGCATACCAAATGTATCCAAAAAGTCTGTCAAAATGAGCAGAGTTGGAAAAAAAAACTACAGATTATCATGCCAAAATAAAATTAAAGGTTAATTCCATTTTTCAAAAAAAAACCTTTCTTTTTAAAAGATAAATTTTATTTCTTTGAAATGAAGAGACACAAAGAGGGGTGAGTAGAGAAAGAGATCTTCCATCCACTGGTTCATTCTCCAACAGCAATAATGGCCGGACAGGGCCAGGCTGAAGCCATGAGCCTAGAGCTTCATCTGGGTCTCCCACGTGTGTACAGGAACCCAAGCAGTCAGGCCATCTTCCACTGCTTTCCCAGGAGTAACAGCAGGAAGCTGAATTGGAAGTGGAGTAGCTGGGACTCAAACAGATGCCCATAAGAGATGCTGGCATGACAGGTGGCAGCTTAACTTGTTATGCCATAATGCCAGCCCCAACAAACTTTTTTAAAGTTCCTGTTTGCTGTGAGCATTCAGGGTGTGGTTCTGGGTAAGCCTTACCACAGGGCCCACCTGTTGCTGTTTGGATGAAGTGAATCATCATTTCAGTGACTGTTATTACTGGGTAAGGCCCAGGAATCTGCATTTTAACAGTTGTTCTACAGCCTACTAATTTCTAAAAATTATTACTTATTTACTTACTAATTTATTTGAAAGGCAGTGTGGCAGAGTTAAGAAGGGGAGAAAAAGAGAGATCTTTCATTCTCTGGTTCACACTCCGAATGACCACCAGTCAAAGTCCAGAACTGAACCTAGGCCTCTCACTGGAAGGCAGGGGCCCAAGCATTTGGGCCATCATCTGCTACTTTCCCAGGCACATTAGCAGGGAGCTAGATTTGAACTGGCTCTCTTATATGGGATGCTGGTGTCAAAAGTGGTTGCTCAAATTCACTGCACCACAAGACCAGCCCAATCCATTACATTTTTAGAGATCTCATTCAAACGATGTCCCCCAGCAAAAGGAAAGACAAACAAGAAACAAAACTCAAGGGTCACCACTTTCACTATTGCTTCATCCAGTTAGTAGAAGTAGATGTTGCTCTCCCAGGCACATCCTGAAAGGTTCTGCCAGAAACACTGCCTGCACCGGAAGCCTGCTATCCAACCACATGATGCAACCATTCCTGCACCTGGCCCCAGGGGCTTGGTTGGATCCACTGTCTGGGTCACAGGTCCACATCCCGTCTCAGAGTACTGGGTTCAATACCCAGTTCTGGCTTCTCACTCCAACTGCCTGGAAAGGAGGGATCAGATAATTGGGTTCTTATCACCCAGATGGGAGACCTGGATGGCGTGCTCTGATTCAGGCTTGGTTTTGGAGGTTTTAGAGAAAGAAACAGACAGGATCTCAATCTCACTCTCTCAAATAATTAAAAAAAAAAAAAAGAACCTGCAAGAGGCAGTATTTTTGAATAGTTGTCTTTCAAAATACAAAGCTCAATCCATCACTGATCCTGATACAGTAATTGATCTGAAAAACAAAAGGTTCAATTTCTTAGCTAAAAATATACCCTTTTACATTTGATATTCTATGTATCATGCTATATAACATAATCATTTCCCAATATAATTAAGCCTTTTATGTAAGATGACTTTATCTAAATATGCCGAGATAGCCTTTGTTTTTAAAATAAAGTATTATCACGCCCAATGTGATAACCCAGAGGCTAAAATCCTCGCCTTGCATGCTCCAGGATCCCATACAGGTGCCAGTTCATATCCCAGCTTCTCCACTTCACATTCAGCTCCCTGCTTGTGGCCTGGGAAAACAGGAAAGGACAGCCCAAAGCCTCAGGATCCTGAACCTGCAAGGGAGACTGAGAGAAGCTGGCTCCTGGCTTCGGATCAGCTCAGTTCCAGCTGCTGTGGCCTCTTGGGGAGTGAATCAGCAGATGAAAGATCTTTCTGTCTCTCCTCTCTGTATATCTGACTGACCAATAAAAATAAGTAAATCTTTAAAAAATAATAATAAAGTATTATCAAACTTCTGCTTTAATACAATTTCTTACTGAACAACTCTCACAAGTAAGAGAAGTCAAAACCCCAGTGTTAGTAGGGTACATCATTGCTGCGGGCATGATCAGAAAGGCAGCAGGTGGCTGTCTCGTCTGTCTCTGCCACATATGAATGACACACTGCTGTTCTGTGTAAACAGAGAACACAGTCAGACGAGGAGCTGGCACCTCGACGTATCAGGTCCAGCCTCCACCTGCAGCACCAGCATCCTATATGGGTACCAGTTCGAGTCCTAGCTGCCCTACTTTGGGATCTAGCTCCATGCTAACAACCTGGGAGAGCCCCCATGTGGAAGGTCTGTGAAAGCTCCTGGCTCTGGACTCACCCAGCTTTGGTCATTGCAGTAAACGAAAATAAATAAATTAATTAATTAATTAAAAAAAATAGTTAAGGTAAGGCAAAATGCAAAGTGGTTTCCAGTTACTATGGGGACCTACCAAATATACCATTAAAGCCCCAAGGACCTTCTTAAGAATCTTATTCCCAGCATATTTCCTTATATCCCAGTATTTCCTTACGACCATTATAACCCAATGCTCTTCGTGTTCCACTTCTTGCATCCGTGCCAGCACAATGCTAACATGCAAACGCCCAACAATATAATCACAAATGTGCAATGAATATTGGGAGTCTCCCACCATCGAATAATATGCATGTCTCAAGGACAATGTGCCCACAGAAATGAAGATGTCGTACCCCAGTGTTAAGTGGGGGAGGGGAAAACGGCAATGATTTGATATGGGTAGTCAGACACGAATCATGTGAGCAGTCTTACACAGGAATGAAACGCAAAAGGAGCTGCACCAGCCCTGGGCCACCCTGGGCCTTAGAAAACAAATCGTATATGGCAATGTTCACCATACCTTCATTCCTCCAGCAAGAGTCCCCTGCCTCCCAGCCTCCAACATACACACACACACACACACACACACCCCTCACCTCACTTCCCCACACACAGCTGCACCCGGGCCCAGAGTCGAGTGAAGGGGATGGGCCAAAGAAAGGGAAGTAAAAACCCCTGCAGAGCCAGCTCACCTTTGCAGCGTTCACAGCAGGTGCCCCTCTGTTTGATGGCCAGGGCACAGTCTCGCGATAGCACTGGGCACTTCTCTCTCTTACACGTCACCTCCTTGTTCTGGGCAAAAAGAGACAAGAGACACACTTCAGTCAGGCTCCCCAGAGTCCTAACACATGGCTGAGGTTTTCCTAGTTCCCCTCTTCCTATGCTGCCTTCATCTTGCCAAGAAAACCCTGTGGTTGCACCAAAAAAAGAAGAAGAAAAAAAAGAAAGAAAAAGAAAAAGCTTTCGCTCTTCCTGGAACAGAAATCTCCATCTGGGAACAGGGGAGTTTTTTGAGATTAGAGGCAGATGAGAAGGGAATGAAAAGCGGCTTCTTTACAAGCCAGCTTTGCCTAGATAACCAAACGCTGAGGGAAGAGACTTCTCCCACTCCGTTCTAAGGTTTCTTTTAGTACACACTACAGAAATGATAATATTTGTGCAAATCATATTTTGCCCATTGGGCTACCTGGGCCAGGACTGCATCGTGAGAACAAAAATATTTTCACACGGCTGTCCAACAATCCTTAATAGTAGAGTGCATTAAAATGCAGCAATCTGAAGTTCCAACTCAAATAATGACAAAGTTGAGTATTGAATCGGCTCAGTAAGAGAAAAAATAATATTCCACATGCCAAGCAGAAACACAGTTGCCAGTGTTTTATAGCCATGGGACAGCTGCATTACATTAGCACTTATGCTAATGAAAGCATGGTGAGCATTTGCATCTTGGGTTTTATCCTCAGAGGTTAGCTATTAGAATGACTTAGAAAAGATCCAAACATGATGTATGCGCCTGTTCTTGTATGGGTTGCATGCACATGACCCAAAAACACCATGTCACAAAACTTCAACAAGATTTAAGCTTGAACAAGAGCTTACTACAGGCGAGGTGCTGCGACTTTTGTTCTCATTAAAATCCTATATGAGTCAATAATGTCATCATCCCCATTTTCACAAATAACAAAGTTTCTGCTCAGGAAAGGCAGCTGACTTTTCAGCATTACGCACTTCACAGTGGGCGAGGGGAATGCCAAGCTGAAGCCCCCAAGGTGCGCACACACACCCATGTACAGCCACCTTCCTTGGCTGGTATGGAGGCAGGCTGCAGAGGAGCAAGGGACCGGCCCGGCTCACCTGGTAAGGAACCTAGGACTCCCCGGAGTGTGGGAAATCCCAACTCAGCCTTGACAGTGACCTTGAGAAGATTCACAAGTGAATGCAGAAACCTCAGTGTCATGATTTCACCTTTCCGGGTCCAGAACCAAATGAGAGAGAGAGAGAGAGAGAGAGAGAGAGAGAGAGAGTGTGTGTGTGTGTGTGTGTTCTCAGATAAAATTCAGGGATTTCAGGAGTGAGGTGGCCCTGAGTGTCCTCTCTCTTCTCCCTGCCTTCCTTCCTGCCTGCCTCTTTATAGCAAGTGCTCTTATGAGGTTAACCTCATCCTTCCCTGCCAGTTAGAGCCAGCAGGGAGCTCCCAGTAAGACAGGTACCTGCCTCCCAGTCCTGAAGCTCAGGCTCACAGGTGTCCCCATCCTCCAGCCAGGCTGGGACCTCACTATCCTCCAGGAGTGCCCCTGCCCTCCGGGAGGACAAGGTGGATGAAGGAGGTGTCCAACGTGAACCCCGGCCGCTCTGGCTCCTGGCCCCCCAAAACTCCTGCTGTCACTCTTCCTCAGAATGACAACGGCAGCAAAGCTACTTTTAATCCACAACTCCTAATCTTATGCTTAGAACTTTTATTACATTTCAAACGTTATGCAAGGGGACCTCAAAAACTTCACTGAAAGTGAAAATAAGACATAAATTCTGGTGGCACTGTAGCACAGCACGTTAGACGTCACTGCTTAGGACACACATGCACCCCTCAACTAAATGCTGGTTCAAGCCCCAGCAGCACCACTTTGGAGTGAGCTTCCGGCTATGGTATCCTGGGAGGCAATGGATGATGACCCAAGCTCGTGAGTGTCTTTTGCCTACCTGGATGAAGTGCCAGGTTCTTCCCTTTAGCCTGGTCCTACCCTGGCTAGTGTGGGAATTTGGGGAGTGACTCAGTAGATAGAAAAGCTTAGTCTTTGTCTCTTCCAGTCACTCTGCATTTTAAGTAAATACAAATAAGGAAGTAACCATTTTGAAGAATTAATTTTTAAATCCATGCATACATTTTTCGTAATATGCATTTTGCATGAACATTTTAAGATTCTTTCATGTGCATGGATTTCAAGGCATTTTACACCAAAAAAAACTGAATTCCATTTAGCTTTCTATGATCTGCTTCCGTTTTCGAAGCCATCGGCCATAACCCCCGGGAAGTACAGCACGGTGTTGTTATCAGCGGCTTCTCTTTTGCAAAACATGACTAGTGCAGGCTGTATTTTCACTCAGACTCCCCTACTGTGGGATAACTGTGAATTTGTTCCCCAGAAGCATTTGTGCCTTCAGCAAATCTGGCCTCCACCGCACCCCCTCCCCGGAGGGAAGACCCCCTGAGACCCAGGGAGCTCAGAGCTCTCTGGCAGTCACAGGGGTGTGAGGACAGAGAGGAAGGTTCACACTCTCTTAAATACAGGAACTCGCTGCTAAATGAGAAACCTGGGAGCCAGTCAGAATGCATAACAGGATCCCAAGATCCATAATAAATAGCTTGTAATTACAGTCCAGCACAGAACTTATTCCAACCAGATGGTTTGTAGACTCACATCTGGAGAGAGAGAGAAGCAGAACAAACCCAAATCTTGGCTGTGGGTTTAGGGGGATTTTCCTCCTTCTGATTACACTCGGAGGGTCTAGAAAGTTCACATCGGTGGGGGCTGCAGTATCCGGTTATTCCCTGGCTGTCTGATTGGCAGGGATGTGGAGTACCCACACGGAATCCCCAGTCCCCAGAGAAAGCCAGGAAAACTCTAGAACCCCCCACCCCGCAGGGAGTCTGCATGCTCTGCCTCCTTCACCAGCTCTGATGGCTACAGAGCAAAGTCAAGCACAAGTTTGTGAAGAACACTCACTCTGCTGTCCCAGACTTTGCCAAGAGCCCCCCACACACACTTGTCCTGGGACCAGGGTCTGCAGAGAGAGGTGGTGCGGCCAAGCCACACCTCCAGAAGTCCCCCCTCCATCTGTGGCAGCCTCATGCCCTTCCCACCCTCCCCCGCCCCAGCCCACTGCTGTGACCCCAGCTCAGGCTCCTCCAGTTCACTGTTCATCCCCCAGCCGTGGTCTGGTACCAGCTCATATTTTCTGCACACTTATTAGCTCTGGGTTCAAATTTGCACATGTGCTCCTTTACCAAAAACTCCCTCTCACGCCCAATGTCTGTGTGAGGTACCGAGGCTAGGAACACGGGGAGAAGCAGGTATGGAATAGAAATACAAAGGCACTTTGTCAGAGAGGACGAAACTACAGCATAGTCACTCTGGTACAGTTTTTTGAAATCCACACAGTTGAATGGTAATAGACATAATGCATTAGCTTTTGTGTTTTTTTTTTTTTTTGCACAGAAATACATGTCTATCTTTCCATTCCATTTTCCGTGAGCTTTTTGGATGTCCCAAGCTAGAGGTGTGTCACTGAGGGGCTCCATCAGACAGATATTCAGGATGCAGACACAGCCAATCGCCAATTGGTGTCTGTATTCTGAGCTGCCTGTAGAGAACGGTGTCTTCCAGGTAGCTGTGAGGCAGCACGTGAGCTGAGCTGACAGGTGCAGTCACTCCCAGGGCCTGCAGCATTACCGTCACACAGGCAGGAACACACCAGCTGCTTTCTGGGAGCGAGGAGGGCTGCTTCAGCGCGGGTATCTATCGACAGTGTCTGTCGAGCCTTTGAAAGCTAGCCTGGTATCTCCCATTTTCTGCTTATTCCAGCTGGAATTTGACACTACCCAGATCTAAGAACAACAGCAATGGTGGCTAAAAATAAATAAATAACAATTAAAAATGAATTCAGAGTTGTTCAGAGCTCACTAAAATAGGAACCTCATCGGTGAAAGACAGCATTCGGCACATCCCTCCTGTCAATCGCTTTCTGGGCTCAGCAGGCTGGCAACTGTCCTGTCATCAGAACTCTGACCCTGCAAAAAAACCTGCAACAGATACACCACAGCCCAGAGCACAGCCTCTGGAGGCGCAGCAGATGAAGTAAGTGCCCGCATCTACAAATAAAAAGGGGGCACAGTGAGTAAAAAAAAAAATCTACATGGCTGCAACAGAACTCCAGGAGGATGTGTGCCAAACCACAGAGAAGTCGCACGCAGCCAAGTTCAAACAGGATGCCGGCAGCCGGCACGCTGTGTCTGAGAGCTGCCACTAGATGGCAGCACCGAGAGCTCCGGTTTGCGGACCAGTGGCCCAGAGCAGGGATCCCCAGCGTCCAGAGCAGTGTCTGCTGCTGCAAAGGAGATTCTCTCCCCCAGAGGAGGGCAGAGTGGAGGGGTGCAGAGAAGATGGCACCCCCTGCACACACCAGCTGCTTTCCTCAACAAGAAACAGAAAGTTTCTGAGATGCTAGCGCTCTATTCCAAGCCCAGGTCTTGAAGATATTTTCTTTTTTCCAAAGAGTTTTCCAGAACCAATCCTCCTATGGAATATGGAAAATTTTACCTGACCTTTCGCTTGTATTAAAAAGAATCATAAAGTAAGAACCTGGGAAGGGGAAACATCGCTGCTTGTGGGATGAATGTAACGAGGGAAGAGAAGCACAGTGCACCTCAAAAAAATTCGAGTCAGAAATAGAATTAAAAGACAGGTTGATTTTGCTGCAAAACAGTACTTTTTACAATACATATTTTCCACAAAATTTCCTTAGTGACTATGGAAGAACCTCAGAAGTCTTGAGATAAGAAGGAAAATGGGAATAGCAGGGGCCATGTCGGCTTCTCCTGCAGCTGGGGAGGCCAGAGCCAGGCCAGGAAGGTGGGCAGACCACACCGGAGTCTCCCCCAGAAGGCGGCGTCCTCTGCCTTTGATCTCAGGGAAGCGTGGCCTGCTGTGGAGGCAGGCAGCTGTCATTTGGCAAATGGAGCAAATTCAAAGTGCCAGATTCTTTTTCAGAAAATCAAGAAGACTGAGAAGTCGTGA